CCAACAAGGGGCTAATGGTGGTGATTCCAAAAGGTTCAAAGACAACTACTTTGTGTGCAATAAATCGGGACATCGTGTAAAAGATTATTAAAGACGTATAGCACAAGAGAATCACAAGAGGAAGACTGCCCAAGCTAATATAATCGAGGTAGAAAAACTTTCTGAAAATGTTTATAACATGAGTTTTTCTGCTGTAGTATCTGAAGTAAACTTGGTGAAAAATACCAAGGAATGGTGGGTGGACACCGGGGCCACTAGATACATATGTTTGGATAAGAAGATATTCTCTTCGTATGAAGCAATTAATAATGGAGAATAACTATTCATGAAAAATTCTTCTACTTCCAAAGTTAAAGGCAAATGAAAAGTTATGTTGAAGGTGACTTTTGAAAAAGAACTTACTCTCAATGATATGTTAGATGTTTTAGAAATTCGAAAGAATCTTGTGTCTGGATCGTTGTTCAGTAAGATGGGTTATAGGTTGACTTTTGAATCCGAGAAATTTGCACTCACCAAGAATGAGATTTATATAGGTAAGGGATATATGAGCAATGGGCTCTTTAAGATGAATGTAATGACAATTGTATTTAATTTTAATAATAAGAACACATCTTCTGCTTATATGTTTGAGTCTTCTAATGTATGGTATGGTAGATTAGGACATGTTAATTTGATTACTTTGTGTAAATTAATGACTTTAGAATTGTTGTTTAAATTCAATATTGATACAAATCATAAATGTGAGGCATGTGTTGAATCAAAATTAACTAAAACATCATTTCATAATATTTAAAGAAGTATTAAACATTTAGAGTTAATTCATAGTGATACATGTTATTTGAAATATGTTCAAACTATAGGTGGAAAGAAGTACTTCGTTACGTTTATTGATGATTGCATAAGATATTGCTATGTATATTTGCTAAGGAGTAAAGATGAAGTATTGAAAAAATTTATGCATTATAAGAATGAGGTTGAGAATCAACTTGACAAAAAAATTAAAGTAATAAGAAGTGATCGAGGTGATAAATATGACGCACTTTTCGATAGATTATGTTAAGAATGTGATATTATTCACCAAACTTCTGCGTCTTATACTCTTCAGCAAAATGAGACTGTTGAACGTAAAAATAGAACATTGAAAGAGATGATGACCGCAATGTTGATTAGTTCGAGATTACCTCATAACTTGTGGGGGGAAGCTTTACTTTCAGCAAACTATATTTTGAATAAATTACCCCACAAGAAATTAGACAAAATCCCTTATAAATTATGAAAATATCGAAGTCCTTTCTACAAATATTTAAAAGTGTGGAGGTGTTTGACTAAGGTGATGATTCTTATTCCCAAAAGGATTAAAATAGGACCTAAGACTATTGATTGTATATTTATTGGTTATGCAATAAATAACAGTGCATATCGTTTTTTCGTACATAATTCTGATATTCCTAATATATATGTCAATACAATCATTGAGTCAAAAAATGTATCATTATTTGAAAATGTCTTTCTTAGTAAAAAAACATGTGATGGGAGTTATCTTAAAAGAACTCATTATACTGCGACTAGTAGTATAGACCATGAGACTATTGATGAAGAAAGTGAAGAAACACTTAGACGCAGTAAGAGGGCAAGGACTTTCAAGTCCTATGGTCCAGATTTTTTAACATATTTGTTCGAAAATGAGCTTCAAAGCTTCAATGAAGCGATGCCCACTCATTTATCACCTATGTGGAAAGAAGTTGTAAACATTGAAATTGAGTTCATCATGCAAAATCACACCTAGGAGTTGGTAGATCTTCCACTAGGGAGTAAACCATTGGGGTGAAAATGAGTTTTCAAGACGAAAATGAAAAATGTTGGAACAATTGATAAGTACAAAGCTAGACTTATAGCTAAAGGTTACAAATAAAAGGAAGATCTTGATTACCTTGATACATATTCTCCTGTCACGAGAATAACATCTATTTGTATGCTCATAACTATTGCAATATTGCATAATCTTGAGATACACCAAATGGATGTGAAAGTAGCTTTCCTAAATGGTGACTTAAATGAGGAAATTTATATGGATCAACTCGAAGGATTCATTTCTCCAAGACAAGAGAAAAAGACATGTAGACTTGTTAAATCACTTTATGGTTTAAAGCAACCACTAAAACAATGACATGAGAAATTTAACAAGGTAATGATGTCAAATGGTTTAACAATTAATGAATGCGATAAATGTGTCTATATCAAAGACACAAATAATGGATATGTCATTATTTACTTATATGTGGATGATATGCTTATTTATGTAGTAATAATAATATTATTACAACTACTAAGAAAATGTTGTTCAGTAAGTTTGAGATGAAGGATTTGGGTGTTGCAGATGTTATACTAGGAATTAAAATTTTTAGAACATCCAATGGACTTATATTATCTTAATCACATTATATTGAAAAAATACTTGAGAAGTTCGACAAAGATAAAAGCAGCAATGCTAGAACACCAGTCGATATAATCTTCATTTGTCTAAAAGTACTAGCCAGAACATATCACAATTTAAATACTTTCGTATCATTGACAGTCTAATGTACGTCATGAACTGCACTAGACCAGATATAGCATATTCAGTTCATAAATTGAGTAGATATACGAGTAATCCGGGAGTACACTATTAGAAGACAATTATCAGGGTTCTTAGATATTTAAGATATACCATGAATTTTGGATTACACTCTACTAGATGTCCAGCTGTACTTGAAGGGTATAGTGATGCAAACTTAATATCTGATATAATGATACAAAATTCATAAGTGGTTATGTTTTTACATTTGGTGGTGCGATTGTATCTTGAAAATCCTCTAAGCAAACGTGTATTGCCAGATTCACAATGAAATTTTAATTTATTGCTTTAGATAAAGCTGGAGAAAAAGCTGAGTGACTTCACTAATTTCTAGAGGATATTCCAATATGACCTAAACCTATGCCAACAATATGTATACATTGTGATAACCAATCTAAAATTGGTAGGACACAAAGTGACATGTAGAATGGTAAGTCTAGACATATACGTCATAGATATAATACTGTTAGGCAATTGCTCTCAAATGAGAATATTTCTATTGATTATATAAAATTAAATGATAATCTAGCGGATCCACTTACTAAAGGTTTGACCAGAGAACAAGTAAATTGCACATCGAGAGAAATAGGGCTAAAACCTATGAAATAAGTGTCACCTTAATGGCAACCCAACCTACTTGACTGGAGATCCCAAGATCTAGGTTCAAAGGGACAACCGAATTATGCATGATTCAAAAGAAGCACTAAGGAGATAATCTCTCCTACCTATTCCTATGATAAACTAGTGTTGCCTGCAGAGTTTATTAGGGTGAGCTATGCTTTTAAATACTTTTATACCTTGAAAAATCTAAGTGGAATACTGCAGGATATTCCTAATAAGAGTCACCTATATGAGTGTAAGGGGGCTGCTTCTGTGAGAATTTATAAAGACTGAATTCTCTAAAACACTTATGAAAATCAGGAGTTGTTCATGGCCAAAATGAATACAATCATGAGAACCAATTGTGTTCGGAAAGAGACTGTGTGAAGTGCATTCGATCTAATTTATCAAACAGTGAATAGCTCAAGATATCACATTCACTATTTAGCTGGGACTTTCACTATGGAAGGTTCAAAGCCAAAAACTACCTATATCAATACACGATCTTTCCAAAAATGTACTCTCTATAGAGTGTCGCCATTATCATTTGTATACTAACAACAAATTTTTCATTCATGTGAGGGAGTGTTGGACCAAAACAGTTTCACAAAATAGTTTCTTAAGTGTAAAAATTAAATTTTTGGTCGACTTTGAACCTAAATTAAAGTGAAACCCGTTTGTTGTTTTGAATAAACTTTTGTGGATTCGTATACTACTCTGTGAGGAGAATAATGTAGTATATTCACTTACTTAAATCAAGTAAAAAATGAATGAGAAAATAGGCTCCAAAGTGACTCTCTTAAAATGTGAAAATAGAGGTTGTGCAATGTGGGATTTAACATCAATACCACATTGGTTGAGTAAAAAATTCTACATGGGTATATATAGGTCAAATTTGCTCTATGGAATTGGGCCCCAATAGGTACCACAATTTTATGAGTTGAGCGAGCGCCTACATGATTTTGATTTTACCACACACACACGTGTGCCACCTACCACGCCACAACCCGACCTGGCCGGTATGGGTGTCGTTTAGACCAAGCCCAATTTTTTTGAAAAAAATTCGTTTAATTAATTGGGTGTGAATTTCTTAACCCGAAATTTAATTTTTCGCACTGGTTCGGATTTTTTGCTTCCCTCAAGTCCGAAATTTGAGTTGTGCATCCAATAAATCCAGTCACATAATCATTTTGTATCCAATAAATCCAATTGATTCAATACATTTTTAGTCATTTAAAGGAGTCTCATACATTTTTAAGACAATCTGTATTTGGAAAGTACACAACACAATTTATGGTTCGCTGAATGAGTAAATTGGAGTGTTACTTCTACTCGTGTAAAGATCATTGTACACGGGGAGGTAAACACTCGATATTCTATAAGCACCATGTGTGGGAGCGAAATATGTCTTAAGGACATAGTGTCAAACACTAACCTTGATCTACATAAAGTTCAATAACAGTTCTTATTCTGCAATCGGGTTAGTATTAATATTGGTTTGAAAAAAAGTTACGTGTAACTATTTCGTTAAGAATATAGTAACTGTTTTGTTTATTCTTCTGTAGCTATTTCAATTTTTTGTGTAACTATTTCGCACTTGATTATTATTATTTTTTATACATTACTGTTTCAAATCAGAAATTTCAATAAGTGATTTTACTATATTTGAAATACCACAATCAACAGTTACAAGGACCCTATGGTTTCAATGGAGAGAAAACCCTATGTTTAGCTTTTTGGAAAGTATACAAACAAACAATTCCAATTGTCGTAAACTTGTCAAGACTTACCTATCAACTGCCTTTGTGAAGAGCTCTAATTCTTGCAGTGAGCCATAAACATCATAAACATCATCTATTGTCATCATTAAGCTAAGGACTTTGGCTAGCCAATTTCTGAAACATTTGTACTGAGGCTCAAAATTGAGTCCCACCACAAATAAGTGACTTTCGATTATTCGGTCCCTTGAAAAGCTTAAATTTCTTGCTATCCCAAGATTCCTCCACCACCTGCATGTCTCACAATGTAGCAAAACGTTACTTTCGAACTTCCTATGTGTGGTGTTAAGCATTTGCAGGGGTTACAAATGAGTTTGACTAAATGAACCATGTAAAACACATATATATGCATAGTCACATGTTCACGCGCTTAGATGATTTAGCCAAACATGCTCAGCTCATTTATGAAACATGTTTTAAAATTGAGCTCGAGCTCAGTTTGTTTTATGAAAGAAAAAACTTGAATGAACTTTACTTAGGCCCAAGTCCGAACTATTCATGAACTAGTTCTTTTCCAACCCTATGCACTTGTTTATGATATGTTCAACAAACAAAAAAAATCATATGTTCACAACTTTAACACTTCTACATGGAAGCTTCTTTGGTTATTACCTTGTTATTTCCCCAAGATCTTTTTGGTGTGTGGCTTGAACCATGTTGAAATGAAGCTTAGCCAGCTTGAGCAAACTAGTGTTGATGTTACCCACTTTTCCTTATCCATGGATGTGTTTCGTGACATTATACCACTCCAATCTCCAATGCAACGGAAGCTCCAACGCAGTGCTCAATTGTTTGGCTAGTGAATCATTTGAGTTTGAAATGACAGTCTTGAGATTTTCAGTAGAAAACATTTTGGCCTTGTCCATTGTGTTTTCACCTTCTAAGGCAAGGTGTGATGCTTCAAACAGCTCAAGCATTGCTTTGACATTTGTGTTTGTGCTTTGCCTAAAATTACCCATCTCATCCACGAATCCGATAAATATGTCTAAATTTCACATAGCATTTAAAATGTTAGGATAAAGAATTGAAATTAAAATAATTTTTTTTGTTTATTATTGCTATAAATGACAATCATGAGTCGAGTTGTTTATACCTTGTGAAACATTGTAGCCATATTGCCTAAGCAACCTAAAGCATAGTGCAGTAGCATAGAGATCCTCTTTTATGGTGAGATTTCTGTCCTTAAGACACATTATCATGTCTAGAGCTTCCTCGATTTCCTGCTCAAAAAGGATGGCCAGACTTAGTTTTCCAATGCTGTCTACAAGCTCTAACTTAGCCAATGGCTCCACGGTTTCAACTAACGTGAACCTAACTTCCTCTTTTAGCTTCTCTACATGTTATATGTGTCTACCTGCATGCATTATAAGAGAAAGGTAAAATGTTTGCATATTTTTATGAAATAAGTACAAATATATCGCATTTAGGTAGCAATTTGGACTTTTAGAATATGTTATAAACTAACTAATAGCAATGTTGTTGGGAGTTGTAGAATCTCACTGTGTATTCACTTGTAAGAGACTCTATGTAATCATATTTCCATATATTTGGCTTGTAATTGGCTGACCGCCTTTGAATGCATTTATCCTTTGAACTATTAATTTCAGTCTTCATCTGGAACTGTAACACTTGCTGATCACTTGGCATTCTATTTGTGCAAGTCACCATGGTTGAAGAGTATAGAGAGGAGAGATGGTAGTAAAGGTATGTAATTGTAGAGATGAGAGCGATAAGAGATGAGTTAAGATCTACTTCATCCCCGTATATATACGCAGGGACAATCGTGTAACACATGAATATGATTACGCTAACATATGGTGACACCAGCACCCGAAACTTGATTTAGAGAAATTTACGTCTGAGATTGCTTGAACCATTAGGAGACAACAATGAAATGATGTAACATAGAAGGAACCACAAGTATTCAGTGTCGTTGGAGTAGCCATCTAGGTTTGGCATGATCCAGCCACTGTGGGTGACCCCTCCCTTGGACTTAAGTGAGATAGATTTATTACAAAAAGATATTCTTGAGTTATGAAATCTTGGAACCACTCATAATCTCATCCAATGTTTCTTTCTTGGAAAGTAGAGAGGCATACAGTGTGGTCATCTCCAATTGTATTTTTTAAACTACATGCCATGTCGAAAGTTTCCTTATCCCAAAAGTACTATACAAATGTACAAACTTGATTTACTATTTTTACTAACATAAGGTTTTCAAAGGTGAAAACTATACTATAGCAAAGTACATAATTGATTTACTATTTTTTCTAACATTTTTTTTTTGGGGAAAGGAGGACTGTACCTCCAAGTTTATTAAATAACCTTCAGTTGTGGTAGAAGAATACTGTGGTTACATAGTAGCATCTAAACCACAAAAACCAAGAAGAAAAAACAAGAAATACAATCCGAAGAACAGCAAATCTAAAAACAAAGGAATTTTTTAGTTCCTAATATATGTCATGCCAGTTTTATCCATCCTTATTAGTCCAACTAATCGGCGTGGTAAATCCATCGTTTGCCATATAAGTTTTGTGGTAGCTGACATATATATGAATTCAGATTTTTTTTTTTTTTTTTCATATTGTTTGCCAATAAGTTTTGTTTTGGACTTTGCTACCAGAGAAGGTTTTAAAAGAGCTATGATTTATAGGTCTTCAAATCTATCATGATAAAATTAAGTTTATTAAGTCAATGATGTGACAATTAATATGGTTCAATATCATTAAAATCGCCTTGCAATTATTGAATTTCTTCTTTGGGACAATATTGCTTGACACATCACTAATTCTGTAAATTAATACAAACTTTTAGGTTTCAAAAGCACTATTCTTATCAATAGGGCAGGTTGGCAAACTAGAGAAGGTGTTAAGTAGCTTCAGTTCTTCCATCTTCAGACTTTCCTTGGTCCAGAGATAAGGAAAACAAAACCATGTTGGTTGTCTCCAGTCAACTTCACTTATTCAATTCTCGAGTTAATCAATGAAACTAAGTTTTAGATATATTTTGGTTTATAAGCAAATGAAACCTTTGAGATTTTAGCCGAATAACGGATTCTCCTAATTAGTTAAATTCCTCACGTTTTATCTAAATCATCAACAATGACAAATTAGTTAACACCAGCTTCATTCACGTTTATATAAGCAACACCATTCCTTTAACAATGACAAAATTGAATTAAGATCTGCTTCGTCCATTTCTATACAAGCGACGCCAATGGTGTAGCAAGTGAATATGTTTACACTAACCTTGGTAGATGTTAGCATCCCCACACTTGATTTAGACACATACTAGCCGGGACCTAGGTGAAAGCCATGAGGAAACCACTTGAAAAATATCTTAGCCAACGTAAGGTGTAAGTTATTTATCCTAAAAGGTATCAACAGTGCGTTTGCTATGTATGGGCATCTAGGGTTGGCATGTGACATTATCTCTTTTCTCAACCCTTCAGTTTTCTTGTACTGTAAAATAAATTTGTACGAATAAACATTTCAAAAGTTCTCTCAAAACCACACAACCAAACCAAACATCAAACATCAAACAAGTAGCGCCACTACCACTCATTTGTCTTCTTTCGTATGAAAAGGGGGAATGCACAATTTGACAATGTAACCAAAGAGAAACATGTAGTGCCACTCATTTGTCTTCTTTCGTATGAAAAGGGGGAATGCACAATTTGATAATGTAACCAAAGAGAAACACGTAGTGCCACTCGTTTGTCTTCTTTCGTATGAAAAGGGGAAATGCACAATTTGACAATGTAACCGAAGAGATGCTTAACACATCTATGATCTGAAGGGCTTCAATAATTCAGTTGAGGCTACTATTTGGATGGGACATAAATAATTTGTATTTGCCCAGTTGTGTTACATGCTATGTCATTGATGGCCTCATGCAACAAACCGCGATTTTAATGAGAGATCATTTAGCTATTTGTCCAATATATCAGAAAATTATTTGGTGTGACTATACAGACTACACAAGATCAAATATTTCAGCTCGAAAGTTTACATCCAAAGACAAAACACGAAAAGCAAGCGAGTAACTACTTCACCCTGCCACGCATCTATAATATATATATCATCAAAAAACCAGTGAGACTAGATTTCAATGAACACCTTAGTCTTCTATTCTAATTGGGTTGAAATTCAAGAAGTGGGTCGTCCAAAAAATTGCTGTTAACCCGCCCTTCATTCATGGACAATAAGACTCGTAAACTTGCTTGAAAAAATTCAACTTGTTTTATGTCATACGGATAGGATCCGAATGCAAAATATTATTTTAGGAGCGTTATTGTCTTACTAAAATACTGCTTTTTGTTACAATACCTCTATTTCTTATTCAATAGAAACGTAATACATCTAAAACTTTTATATTTTATTATTCTACCAATTTTTTTAATTAAGGGTGGTAATCATCTAATTCAAAATTGATGACTAAGACAAATTACAGTACGGTATTAAAAATATCATAGCTTATCTTTTTAGTGGAATTAGAACCACAAACAGGTTATCTGGGTTGTTACTGATGGATGACAAGGCTATAAATCGTGTGGTCCAAAAGCTTGGATATGCCTAGTAATTGAGGACTACTTGTGGTCAGAGAGTTTGTTCTACTGCCACAACCCAGCAGTAACAGTGCAACCATGTGTTTTAAGTTTTAACTGCTTAGGGAAGCAGGGGCCTATGTCGGGGACTTCATACTAATAAACTTTTTGTTAATAAGCTTCACGAGCACAATTTTATTGACGACATATTCATGTGTTACAATAATGTAGGCCTCCTCCCTTACTACAGTAATATATTCACATGGATGGTGCTCCCAAAAGGGTTACATGTGACGGAAGAAAAATGTTATTTGAGTTTAATTTGAGACCTAATTCAATGTAATTGTTGGATTAAAGTGGGTTTCATTTAATGTTGGAACTCATATCTAATCCAATGACTATGTTGGATTAGGCCCCTAATAAGGTCCCTATACCATTGCTCGTAAGGAAATATCATGATCCATTTGGTGGGATAGATGAAAAAAGGAAAGGAAATACAATAAAAGTGATATATTTTTCATTGTCACATGAAAGTTAACTTATTTTCCTCCTTTGTGCTTTGGAAAGAGAGAGAGAAAGCATGAATGACTGATTTTTTTTTTATGTTTGGTATGAATAAAAAGTGGAAGGAAGGAAAAAATATGCATGCATATTAAGTCATTGTACCAAGATATAAAATTAAAATATTTATAATATATAATACTAGTTATTGTCTGTGCCTAAAGACACTGTACGACGAAAAAAAATCAACTAATAAAATGAGCATTAGCAAAAGAAAAAAGTTGTGAACATAATGATAACAATAAATATCTAGAGTTGATGAATATATAAAAAATGTACAAAATTACCCCTAAAAATATAACTCAAAAATTTAAACATATACATAGTTTACATATTTTATTATTGTACCTTAAAAAGCTATTACTCATTACATATTATTAATTTGCCCATAGTTAAGAAAATGCATATCAAATAAAAGAACGCTTTTTATATCAAATAACTACTATCTCCATATGATTAAAGTGCAAATCCTCATTCTCAATCAACTTGATCTAGTATATAACTATCATTTTTCAAATTCAAATGCACATCATAGAAATAGGTATAAAAGAAATTACGAAGTATCAAAGCATTCAAGAGGCTGTCTAAAAAATTGCTCGAAAATAACATTGGTTCTTTAAATAACTTGAATTCCAATAAGTTTCAGGCATTAAAAGTGTACCCAACAAATTATTGAAGCACTATTGCATTCGAAGTAATTAAAGTAATTAAAATCAATCCCCCTCGCCTCTCCTTTCTCTCTCCTACCTCAAAACTCCCAAGCCCACATTTTCTCTTCGATTATTGTTGGTTGGGTTTATAAACAAAGGTGGGTGGGTCATTTATAAATTATAAATACTCGTATAGTAGCAAATCTTAAGATAAAATTTCATCTTCATCTGGGAATGTAGATCTTATATCTCAATAAGGAACCCTCTCCGTCTCTCACTCTCTAAAAAGTAATCAAAGATGTTACATATAAAACATAGGACACCTAAATCCTCCCTCTCTCTCAAAAATAATCAAAGATGTGACATATAAAACATAGGACACCTCTCTCTCTGTTTCTCACATACACACACGGAATCGGTTTATGGTTGGTGATCTCTCTCTCTCCCGAAGATAGAAACAGTTTTGGTTGGTGGTATCAATTACGCAGGGCTCTGTAAAGACATGAGAAAAGTAAACGGTAAATGATAAATAATTTTACCTTCGTTTTCGATAAATAGATTCTCCCATTCAATGCCACAATGTATTAGAAGTTCCACTTTCCTCAGCTTGTCATAATATGCCACATAATTTCTCAATTTCAATCTTGGTCCCATCTTTCTTGTTGCTTCAGAAAGTAGCAAGTGTTGATTCTTGTGACTGACTAGACTTATATTTTAATCATGTCGTGTTCATACTCACGCACATACAACTTGTGAACTAGAAACTTGTGACTATAATATCTTTTTGTCTCAAACAAGCCCACCACCCATCGATGTTCTTATAAACCAAAAATTCACCTTACATAGATTTTAACACAAACAAGTAAGACAATCCTTATTTTGCAAAGATT